TATGACTGAAGAAAGATCAGGGGTAGGAGGAGGAGAGAGAAGAGGAATTGCGAAAGAAAAAAAGAGGAGTATGAGGAAAGGAATAGAAAAGAAGAGAAATTAGAAAATCAAATTTGAATTCTTTTTAACATGAACAGTAAAAATATCTTTTCAATTTTCCCTTGAATCAATTACTTACTGTTGTTCTGCCAAGGGATTTGAAGTGGCTATGGTAAGGAGAAAAGATGTAAGAGTAATGGATAGTAGAAGGGGAGAAGTTGGAAATGAGAGCTGTAAGAGGATAGAGAGGAGAAGAGGAGGAGGAAGGGAGTGAGGAGGTGGAGTAGGAGAATAGGAGAGGAGCGTGAGAAGAGGAGTATTAGGAAAGAGTTGAAGAGAGTAGGAGGAAAGAAAGAGTAAAATGTAAAAAATAAGAGGAAAAGAAAGAATAGCGATAGAAGGAAATGAGAGAAGTAGGATAAGAGAGTAGAGAAGTGTAGTAGTAGAAAAAGAGAGGTTAATAATAGTCTACTATGAAAGTACTAAGAGGAGAGAGAACGGAGAAGAAAGTAGGAGGAAAGGAGAGTAAAAGAGAGTAGTGTGAAAGGAGAGGGCAGATAGGAGGATAAGAGAGGATTAGGAAAATAGAAGAGGTGGAGTAGAAAGATAGAAGTGGAGAAGTAGAAGGATAGAGGATGAGGAGGGAAGGAGAAGAGGAATAGAAGGGAATGAGATTAGATGTAAAAGGATAGTAGAGGAGAAGTAAGGATTAGGAGGAGAGTGAAGATAATTATGAAAAAAGAGTAGAAGAATAGTAGGAAAGGAGAGGAGAATAATTTAAAGGAAAGGAGATGAGAAAATAAGAGTAGGGTGATTATGATGAAAGAAGTAAAGAAGTAGGAAAAAAGTCGAAGAGGAGTATAAGAAAGGATAGGAGGTGAAGAGGACTTTGAGGAAGGGGAGCGGAAGAAGTAGGAGGAATGGAGAGGAGAAGAGAGTGGAGGAAAATACGTGAGAAGAGAGCGGAATGAAAGGAGGGCAATAGGGTACTAGGATTGGAGGAGTAAGAAAATGAAAGAGGTGGAGTGGAAAAAGTAGAAGGATAGAAAAATTGTAAAGGAGAAGAGGAGTAGAGCGGAATGAGAGGAGATGTACTAGGATGGTGAAGGAGAAGGGAGATGTAATAGGTGAAAACGAGACTATGATTTAGGAAAGATCAGAGTGGGAAGAGCGAGAAGAGGGTAGGAGGAAAGGAGAGTAGGAGTAGGAGGTAACGAGAGGAGAATAAGTAGGAGGAGGAAAAAAGATAGAAAAGAAGAGAAATTAAAAAATTAAATTCCACTTAACCTATTCTTTAACCTGACAGCACAAGAAATCTTTTAAGCTTTCCCATGAACCGACTGCTTGCTGTTGTTTGTAGGGATTTGACTTGGCTATGGGGAGGAAAAATATGTAAGAGTAATGGATAGTAGAAGGGGAGAAGCTGGAAGTGAGAGATGGAAGAGGATAGGAGAGGAGAAGAAATGGAGTAGTGGGAAGAAAGGAAAGAAGAGCAGTAGGAGGAGATGAGAGATTGAAGAGGATAAGCAGGAGAATAACAGGGGTAATAGGAGTAAAGGAAAGAATAGCAGTAGGAGGAATGAGAGTAGGTTAAGAAAGAAGAGAACACTTCCTTTTGGTTTTCTTCTAGTAAATATATTCTATTTTATCTAGTGAACCCCTTTTAAAATATTGGTATTCTCTTTGCCATTCTCTCTCTAAGTATTTTTACTGTACAATTCTTGACATGCTTTCATCCAACAACAAAGATGATTTAGTGAGGAGTAGGTAGTGAGGATTATCAAATTGATTCACGTATCCCTACTTACAATCATTATCGAGCGCATTACATTTGGAGGAGAGGACTGTCTCCATATTCTCGAATTGCTTAAATTTGTGGAAAAAATGATCAATTGGTAAGAATATGGATGAATAAACTCTCAAATGATATATCTAACAATAAGCGATATCTGAGGGGCCTAATACCCCAATATTTATTTAGAAAATAGATGAAGAATATAATATTGATATTTGGTAATTAATTGTAATTAATTTAGTTTTGAATAAAATTTTGTATAGTTAAAAATACATACACCCACTGAAAACACATGCATACCTAAGATCTATTGTTTTAATAAAATTTAAAATTTGTATTTTCTTTTACCTAAATATGCACTTTTAACCCTGAAATTAACTACTTCAAACTTTACACTATGCATTTTGCAATTTCTTTTGCTTAATTATGCACTTTTCCTCCTAAAATCAACAACTTCTAAACGTTAATTATGCTAATCGTAATCTTAATTATTCACTTTTACCCCTAAAATCAACTACTTTTAAGCATTAAAATACAAAATGTTTTTATAAAAAATTTTATTCCAAACAAAACAATAAAAATTATATTTAAAAAATTTTCCTTGAATCAATTGTATACTGTAGTTTTGCCAAAGGTTCTGACATGTATATGGAGGGTGAAAAGAGGAGCAGGGGGTAGGAGGAAAGGAGAGAAGCAGGGGCGTAGGAGGAAAGGAGTGGATCAAATGAATATGAGGAAAGGAGAGGAGAAGAGTGGAATAAGAGTAGAAGGAAAGGAGAGGAGCAAAGGAGTAGGAGGAAAGGAGAGGGGAAGAAGTAGTAGAAGCAAAGGAGAGAAAGAGTAATAGTAGGAGTTAAGAAGAAAGAAGAGGAAAGGAGAGGAGTATAATGAAAGGAGAGAAGGAGTAGGAGTTAATGAGATAAGTAAACGGAATGGAGAGGAGGGGTATGAGGGAAAGAGAAGAGCAGGGAGTATGAGCAAAGGGAAAAAAGAACAGGAGAAGATGAGAGATAGTAGGAGGAAGGCAGAGGAGGAGTAGGAGGAGGATCAAAGGAGTGTAGTAGAGAGTGGAGTAAAGTGTAGAAGGAGCAGGAGAAAAGTGGTATTAAGTCGTAGCCAATTTCAAAAGATTTCTCGTCCTTTTGATTTTTAAAACTAATATTTCTCGTTGTCTGACCTATCGTCCTGAATATTGGCATCTTTCCACATTTTCTGACCAACGAGGGTGCCAAAATACATTCTTTTAGGTTAGGGTTAGGTTTTAGTTAGGCTATACTTTAGTTTTCTTTAGGGTTAGCCAAAAAATACCCTTTCCTTTTGGTTTACTCTCACTCATAGATATAATCTCTTTTTGTCAGACCACTCTCCCTAAATATTGCCTTTCTTTTTTCCATCTGCAGGTATGCCTTTTTGCATAGTCGCATAAGCTTAGTCTTTGACCAGCCACTCAAAAGAATTTGACCATAAAATATTGTCGTGGGGGCAAAAAAGATGTAAAAGAAGGGAAAAAAATTGTAGGGGTGTCATTGACCTTCAACTCTGTAGTAATATAAAATAAAATCAATTAGTAGTTACCACAAGTAGGAACTACAAAGGGAATTGTTCATTAGGCATTAATTGTTCAATAATCACCAACACCCATTATTTGGGCTTGACAGCCAAAGTCATTAATTATTTACTAATTTTGTTACGCTTAAACATAACACCGATTCATTGGTCAGATGAAATGGAAACCAATTAGTAGTGCTAAGTCGTCAATTAGTCATACTAATTAACATGGAAATTTGCCGAAAGCCCCTACACCATTACCTACGATTTTAGTGTAAAGGTCAAAGAATTTCAAGGAAAATCTTACAAAAACCTCTAAATTTTTAAAATATGGCGGCATCTTCAAAGAGGTTTTAAAACAAAAATTTGCATAAATTTAAAATATTCCAAAGAGAAAATAGAAAAAATTTAAAAAATTTTGAAATTTAATAAAAAATAAAGGATTAAGGTCAAATTTTAATTAGGTCAAGGTCAATTATATTTATGAAAAAGTATTAAAAACAAAGGCCAAATTTTGGGGGAGCAAAAAAAAAGAAATTGGGAACTGAAAATAGAGAATTTTAATATTTTTTAATAAATTATCGGGTATCAGTCTAATTAACAGCCCGAGTAATCACTAACAAATCATTATTAAGACATTATAATCGAACTGTATAGTAATCACTTGAGATATCAATCTGGGTAATCACTTTCATTATTGATATGAAGTGGATTACAAGGTTTAATCTAGTAATATACGAATTCTCGACATTGAAGATTTGTAAATTGCTCATCTCTACTAATTAATCACTCATTCATTTCGTTCTACATGATTACGTGTTATTGCCAGCCGCGACGTTAACCAGCTTATTACAAATTACCCACTCCCTCTTTTGGTTTCTCCTCTTTCTTTTTGGGTGTCCACTTCTCTTCCTTTTATCGGACCCCTCCTTCCCCACGACAGTGTCCACTCCCTTTGATCTTTACCGCTGCATTCCCTCTCCCTTTTGGTTTTTGTCGGACCCCTCCACCACTTGACGGGTAGTGGATTAGTAAAAAGCCACGACACCGACTGTGGGTTAACTACTCCTAACCAAATTATTTAGGAAATTAGAAAAATCATTTAGTGACAGAGGTCGTGTCTGGAAATTTGGGAGTGAACATTTGGCAGGATCCTGTCTTGTTCGAAATTTTAAAACCCAATCCTGGTACAGGATCCTGCAAATGCAATTTTACCTCTCTAGTCTAAATAGTAGAGTCCGGCAAAATCGCATTCCCGGGATCCCGGAACGGGATTTTTTTCAAAATTTTGTACGGGACGGGATCCCGCGGGATTAATCCCGTAAATCCCGGTAATCCCGTTTTCCGCGAAAAACCCGGGATTCTGGGACGGGATCCCGTAAAATCCCGTGCGGGGTCCCGTCCCGTGCCAATCTCTAGTCTAAATACTGTAATCAAAAATAATGAAAAAGTTTCGCTTTAAAACATTATGATCATTTGGGGCTCAAATGTCTTCTATCGAAAAATGACATTAGATCCCATATTTTTCTTAACTATTTCTTTTTTCCTATTGTCTCTCGCTATGGCTACTAAAATCTTTTATTTTTTTTTTAATTTGCAAAATTGTTTAAATTATAGGTTTTTAACTGTTTAGGATAATTGATTTTAAAAATTATGATCACTCGAAGCAAAGCCAAACAACAAAATACTCAAGATCAGCAAAATTTGACTAAAGAGAATAATCAAAAGGTTTTTAATTTCTTTAGCTTATTAAATGTCTGATTTTAAAATCTAGACGAATCAACAACAAGGCGATCAAAACAACCAACAAACAGGACAAACTTCTCATGGGAACAACCAACAACAACCTGCTCTACTACCAGTTGAAACTAAGGTTTTATTTTTTAAGTGTTTTGTCATAGATCGTTATCTGAATCCTTGACTCGATTTTTGGCCATATCCCAAAATAAGGGCGGAATCGTTTTTTTATTACCTGAAAGGAAAGGAAAAATGGAGACGAACGGACTCGGAGGAACTTATATGGTTTAGGTGCGCTTTTTTTTAACCACGCCCCTTTCTCCTTTTCCCTCGTCAATCAAACGCACTACGTACAAAATGGTCAGTCTTTCTTTCCTTTTCCATCATTCTTTTAATACTTTTCCTTTTTATCAGCAACTGCACTACACCACGCCCTTTTTCATTTTCATTCTCATTTTTCCTCATTTACTTTATCCTTTAAAAAAATTCATTTCATCTTAGGCTTAAGACTTTTAACTTTGTTTAATTTAGTCCAGGATATGGAAGATCTTAGAAATTTTAATATTTACAATTTATTTTGCTTAATTGGTAAGTCATCGTTGAATTGATAAATTTGTGAGACGGAAAAAGAATAATGATGGAAAAGGAAAGAAGGAAGGGTGACAATGCGTTTGCTTGACGAGGGAAAAGGAGAAAGGGGCGTGGCTAAAAAAAGCGCACCTAAACCATATAAGTTCCGACTCGGACACACAAAACACGGAAGGGCTTGGGTCAGACAAGGCATGGACGGAATCGGACAGACGTCCGTATTTTGTCTGACCCGAATCTGTCCGTCTTTTGTCTGTCCGAGTCCGTTCGTCTCCATTTTTCCTTTCACTTTTTGCTTTCCTTTTAGGTAATGAAAAAAACGATTCCGTTCTTATTTTGGGATAGGGCCCGATTTTCTGTATCTAGAATGGATTTTTCATTGTCCCTTGATTTGTCCTTGACTCAAGGCCCGAATCTGTCCGTGTTTTGTCTGTCCGAGTCTCAAGGTCAAGTTCCTTAACCAAAGTCAATGTTTTTGAAAATTTCCTATCTCTAGTTCTTGTATTTTTTGGTCAACTTTCAGATTCTAATTTTTATTTTTTCTATCGATTTATATTTTAGGAACGTACAGACCATGCTGGAATTCCAACGATTGGGGAAATCAGCAAATGTTTAATTTGTGGTTATCGTTCCGATTTTTTTGGACTTGGGGAGTGTATGCATCCGGTTTATTTTTTGTTTTAATTGGAACTGTTTCTAATTTATTTTATAGATTTGTATGAAATGTTCACTGCATATCCGCGTGTTTGGAGAAAAAAAACAATGCCCACACTGTCGGACTGATATCTCTATTGTATTTTTTATTTTGTTATTTTTATTGTTAGATAGTGTGTTTTAGAGGCCGATCTCGGCTAGGGTATAGCTTATCAACCCATCAAAAAACATTTTTGTCATGTCTAAAATGATACGGCGATACCTAATATCAAAAAAAGTGCTCATACGGATGGCAAGCTTTTTCCTCCAGATTTGCAGACCCATAAAATTGAAAACTCGTCGAGAGGACCAAGCCGATTTTTGGGGTCAAAAATTCGAATGTGGAAGTACTAGCTCATTCGAAAGAGCTCATCTGATATTTCACTCATAATCAGAGCATTTATTGCATTCCAAAAACATGTTTTTTCATGGTGTAATGGGCGATGCTTTTACCGTGATCTGGATTTTTTATTTTTTCTATCTGCAAATTTATTTTCCGAATCCATAGACAGGCTCATTTTTCATATTTTCTGATCGTAGTTTAGCTTTTTTTTATTGATTTACCCCATTGTTTTCGCCTTTATAATTCCCCTTTCAATTTTACAGCTCTATTATGTATCTGCTCCTCCAGGTCAGAAACATCTTTTAAAACTTCCAACCAATTGTATTGACCATACCGAATATGAAGCAAAATTTTCTGTCCGTTTTGATTCAAAATATGCCTTGGAATGCTTTGATTCTTTTTTGGTTGAACGTCGTAACAAATGTGTTGAGAGGTTTTTTTTGGTTTTCGATTGTCGAGCCTATTTTTTCTATTTTAGACTAAATGAATGGGTTTTCTTTGACACAACAAAGAATTCTAAAACTAGTATTATACACGGCCGATTCGAATATATTTTAGAAAGTAAAGGAATTTGGCGCTGCTCTAAAAATCCAAATAAATTGTATAAATGCAATGGTTATTTAAAAGAATTTCAAAAGAATTACATTTTGTGTGCTGATCACACGTGCGATTTGGTAAGATTTCGTTGCTACAATTTGGTGTCACATTAAAAATGCTCCAAAAATTTTTTATTTTCTTGGGATTCTAATTTTTGTTCAATTTTTCGAATCTAAAATTTGGCTGTATATGAAAGGAGTGCTCGGATCGCATTTTTCCTTACTTCCTTAGAGTAAGGAAAAATACGCTTATTTTGCTTATTTTGTTGGGTCTCTGCTTATTATGTTTAGTGAGTGTCAAAAAAACGACCGTGTCGGTCTTGTTGCTTTTCTGTCCTTGTTTAGACTAACACGAAACTAAAAAATCGTCACCCCAACCGAATTGGACCGAGTTTTGGTAAGACCGACTTGGTCTTTCCAAGTTTTGTCAAACCAAGTTTTGTCTCGACCGAGTTTTGCCACTCACCCAACAAAATAAGCAGAGAAAAAATTATTTTTTACACAGTTTTGCCTTATGACAAACATCAAATACTAAGGAAAATTGACCCCATTCCGAGGCGGTCTAAGGAAGTAAGGAAAATGGGATCTGAGCATTCCTTTCCAAAAAATTTTTTTATGTATTTTATGCACAAATATCGGCTGTGCCTCTCTGAGATCCAACCTCTTGCTACTAATGTTATATAAACTAAGCTTTGTTGAAGTACCGGGGACCTTTGAATTATTTTCTTTTTAGCTTTTTTAATAATTTTAACATTTTAAAGATAAAACGATGGGGATGTATTGATAAAAATGTAAAACCAAATCTTGGAATGGAAAATTGTATGATTTTTTTTAATTTTTGAAAAAAATTTTTGCGGCACTTATGCCTCTCCCCTCGGTCCATTTTGTGTTAAATATGAAAGGTTTAAAAAGCAGAAAAATTGAGGGGTAATCCTTACTTTTACTGGTCCCTAAAAAAATTGGGAAAAAAGTGCTGTTTTGATAATTTTGAGGTCTACCAGTAGGTAATCGAGTGTGCTGAGTCCGAATATGAGCTTAGAATTTGTTTATTTCGAACCCCGAACCCGAATTCGACCAATTCGAATATGGGGTAAAAATTCAAAAATTCACATTTTTTGCTTAATCGGACTCCTCTCTTCGAGCTGAGTTGAACGGTATCAAAATTATGGCAATCCCGGAGAATCGTTGTCCGTGCGGAAAAAAATCTTAAAAATAAGAAAAAGGATTTTTTAGGGTAAAAAATTATGCTGATTACGAATCTGAACTCAGATTTTGAAAAAATCGAATCCCGAACCCGAAATTCGGATATTTGACATTTTGGGAAAAATTTAGAATAATAAACAGAGCGCAAATCGGTCAAATAATATATCATTTGAAAGAGCTCGACGAGCTGAGTCGAATGACATCAAAATCACCGTGATTGATCAAGATCGGGCGAATTATGACACAAAAAACATAGGTCTACGTTGTTTGTTTTTTGTGGTATCATTTCGTCCAATTTTGTTAGATCATCGTGATTTTTGTGTCATTCGACTCAGCTTGAAGAGCTCTTTCGAAAGAGGTATAAACCGTCAGAATTCGAAAACTGACAGCCGGGACTAAATTACTTGATAATATTTCGATAATTTACAAAAAGTACCAATTGTTAAATCCGGATTTGCGCATTGCATCTGCGTATCCACAATCGTCGTAACGCCTGCATTTTGTCCGCCCTCATTTTTTATATCCGTGTCTTGTCCTTTTCACGTTTTGGCCTGTCATTTGTATAATAGAGAGTTTTTAACTCAACATTCTGGCAATTTTTTTACTCCTGTAACCTAGTGTTTTCTCAAATTTTTAGCTGATAAATGTGTTTTTATGGCTTGGGCGGATGGTCCAGGATTAACTGTTGGCGTACTTGGTCGCCCAAATAAATTTACCGTTGGATATACAAAAAATTTTGGTGGTGGAAAATTAACCGTAGCTATTGATGGGCCTAAAAAGGCTGAAGTTGGAACTGTACAGCATCTAAATGAAAGCAATTATCAAGTCGAGTTCGTTCTTTTTGCTTATACTAATTATAATTAGAACAATTTCTAAAACTTTCCAATTCAGATACACAGTCCATTCACCTGGTCTTTACACAATCAATGTTAATTTTATTGCTACTCCGATCCTCGGATCACCTTTTAAAGTATAATAATATTTATAAATTTAATTAAATTTAATTTTTTAGGTGTTTGTGAAAGCTAAGATTAATCAAACAATTTCTTGCATTCCTTCTACCTCGTCAGCAATTGAACAACAACATTATGATTATTTGCCAGTGAGTAGTAGAAAAATTGTTTGTATTTTTAATACTTGTTTTCGTGGCGCTAACTTTGCGGAACAGCATTTCGCGTACCCGAACTTTGCAGAACAAAAGCTGCAGACCTGATTTTTGCGTACTTAAAATTTAATAAACGAGATTTGAGTGTAAAATAAAATTTTAATTGATCGACTCCTCAGATTCCATAAATTCACCCAGAAAAGAATTCACTCATCTAAGGTCACAGGCGGAAATTTTTAAATTTCCTAAGTCAAGAAGACACTTGTCTGTTCGTAAATTTCGTTTTGCTAATTTGAGCTTTGCATAATTCGAGTCCGCAAGTTTTGGTTCAGCGAACTTCGTCCCTCAAATTTGAATTCGCATAGTTCGGCGGCCAAAAATGAGCTTGGTCCCCCTAAGGGTTTTATATTTTTATGAATATGGGTCTCGACATAATGTTGTTTCTCTGGAAAAATTTTGTGTTAGTCGACTCAGTTCGCTTTGCTATTTCGATTGACATATAGGTAGATTGCCCAACTCTAGAAATCCCACGCGGTATAGTTTATCCAAACTTTGGAAAAATTGTGTTTGGGGGCCCAGACTCCGATCCGTTTTATATATGTCATTCGAATAGAATTCGACGAGCTGAGTCGAATGATGCACGAATCAGTCGGCGGTTGTTTTTCCGCGAGGGCCTTATTCAATCATGGAGATTTGGTTCAGTGTATTTCGGACTTTCGAATAAGCTAACATTTGTACAATCGAAGTTTTTACCCCAAAAACCAGCTTGCTCTCCCTAAGTTTTTTCCCTCAAACACAATTATACCTAATCTTCCAATTTTTCCACTTTTAAATAAATTCTAGAAGATTTTAATTTTTTATTTGCTCTTTTCTAGATAAAAGATTCAATGTTTTCTCTTCCAACTGAAGTTCGACTTGATATATTAAAATGCCTTAATTTCAACCAATTATTTTCTCTAAGACAAACCAATTCTTACTTTTACAATTTAATTAATAAACTTGAAGAACAATTGGCAAAGAAGAAATTCAAACAACTTGTAAATAAAAAACTTAGTGCTAAAGTCTTTCCAAACACTAAATCCATTAAACAATCTGGAATATTTAAATTTACGTTAAATGATCAACTTAAGAAGGTTGAACTAATTTTTAATAAAATTACATTTAATTTTTTCAGTGGAAAGCAGCATTAGCTAATTCAATTCCGATGTATTTAGATCATTCAACATTTCAGAGGCCAATTGTTATCAGACTTGAAAAAATCGAGGATGAAGAGCATCGTCTCTTGTGTTTGCCAAACTTTCCAAAAAATTTCAAAGATCTTGTTGAACTTCGTTGTTGGTTTCAACATATATTTGGATGTGCTTTTAAATATCCTTATGCTGGTCCTAGATTTAATCCAGAACTGATCAAGTTATTATTTGATGATGACAAAACAATTCCTCATCAATTTCTTAATCAATGAAATTTATATTTCTATGGGAACTTATATGGTTTAGGTATCCTTTTTTAGCGACGCCCCTTTTTCCTTTTCCATTATTAATCAAACAAACTAAATATGTACAGATCGGTTTGAATTCTTTCTTCCTCGATCTCACTCAATTTTCCCTGAGGCATGTTCAATGAGAGTCATTAATAAAGAAAAGATCAGTTTTTCTTTCCAATTTCTCCAAAATAAAAATTAGCATTTGAATCAATACCCAGGGCTGCGTTTTTGAAATAATGGTCCGGTATTTTGATGTTTTCCGGTAATTATGTGTTTACAATCATTTTTCTCAAAATGGCATTTTGACCCCTGTAATTTTTCCCAGAGATCAATGACAGAGTCTGGTGTCATTAAACTCAGCTCGATGAGTTATCTATTTCCTCACTAACCTTTTCTACATCCTTAGCTGAATTGATTGTTGAGGAGTAGTAGTAAAAGAAAAGTATGAAAAAGGGAAAAAAGGACGTGGCTAAAAAAGTATACATAAACCAATACATAAACCATATAATTTTGTGAGTTGTTTCTCATTGACTTTCGATTAAATTATTTTTGTTTTATACAGGGCTCTCATTCGAATTATTTTGGAATTAACCTACCTTTGTGCTTAAAAAATTTAAAATTTTTTGTTTGAAAAAATTAAATTTTCCTTAAAATTTCGAAAATTTTCGCCTGCGTGGCTAAAAATGGAAGAAATCTGGTCTAGATGTTAGATATTTGCCTTCTAGATTCTCTCACACATGCTGAAAAAGACGTGTGAGAAAATTGCATGAGATTTGAGCATGCATAAAATTTCCCCCCTTTTTTACTGTTTCCCTGAACATTTTGAGCCTTTTTGTTTGATACATTATCATTCGAAAGAGCTCTTCGGGCTTGGTCGAATGATACTATGATTGGCTAGATCTGATCATTCTTACTAAAATTGTGAAGCTAAATCCTCGTCAGAAAATTTTTTGTGCCAATGCGAGGCATTAAAATAAACGGTCACAACTTTCTTCACTTTAGTCAGTTTTCATTAATTTTAATGTCATTCGACTCAGCTCGAAGAGCTCTTTCGGTTAATATATAATTTGCCATAAAATGGGAAAAAACAAGGGAAAAATAGAAAGGAAAAAGGGGAGGGGGGCTTCCAAACTATTACCAATATTTTCTTATGGACTTCTATTTATTTTTATCTTATAAAATTTATTCGCATTTTATTTTTTAAGTGCCAATTTATTGTTATTTTTTGGTGTGATCTTGTCTCACCAAAAGCTTGACTCACCAAAGTTTGTCTCACCAAAAGGAGGAGCGAAAAGCTTGGCTCCCCCAAGGAGGAGCGAACTTTTGCCAAAAATTTTTTCCTTACGCCTTCGGCTCTGTATCCAAGTAAAGGTCCGGTACTTCGAAAATTCTTGATTATTCGTGTTCTTTATTTAGTTCTCTATCATATAAACTTTATTTGATCCCATTATACCAAATTTAGATAAAGTTATGCCATAAATAACGTGCCCCTTGACTTTTTGGTCACAATGTACAATAAGTTTTATTTTCAGATAAAATTTTATTGAATATATTTGGGATATCAGGGGATTTGAAAAAATTAAAATATATTTGAAGAGATCTTTCTGGATCCCAATCCGGTCTTTTAGTTTTGGAGGCAATTGAGCCTTGAACATAGCTTGAGCCATGAAAAAAGCTATAGTATAAATAAGGGCTTATAGCATATGAGCCATAAGGGATAATCGAGCCATTATAGGACATCTCAAGGCACACGACAGCCAATTTTAATTTACTATAAAAATTAATATTATTGAATATCTTGAGGTAAAGTAAAAAAAAACTTTGGCGGCATGCGTCCCATCAGCGCTTATGCGTCCCAAAAGTTCAGATTTCCCTTGAATTTCTCCAGATCCTTCTCAATCTCTGTAGATCATTCGATATTCTTCTATCTTCCTATACACTTCTTGTTCCCTCGATATCACACCAAAATCCTTCAACATTCCATAAAAGTTTTAATCTTTCTCACCTTTTCTGCAAAAAACGGATCGGGTTTCTGGTCAATTTTGAAAAAAAATTCTCGGGTCGGGTAACGGGTCGAAATAAGGCGGGGTTTGAGTAACCCGGCCCATCCCTATTACGCTCATATATTTAAAAATGCCATTCACATATGCAAACTCCACCCATTTTATTCTCCATAAAACCGAGGGCATTTCATCATTCCTCCATAAAATTTTTTCATTTCTATTTTTAAAAAGCTTCCCCTTTATTAAATAAAAATTTTCTCAAGTTTTATTCAAAAAATTTTAAACAAAATCCTTTAACAAAATGTATTTTAATACATTTGCCAAGACATTTATTGTCTTGGTTTTTGTCGGGTTTGCTCCTCTAATTATCAAAGGAATGCATAATATTCCTCGTAAGTTTAACATTTTTATCAGAAGGTCAAGATTTGCTTTAGATAATTCTTAAAAATTAAGTAAATATGCAAACTGGTGAAGGCGAGCCGAATATCAATCTGAAGGTGTTTTCTCTCTCTGAGTTATCATTTCTGACGAGAATATTCGATACGATTTACTTCGGAGATTTCACAAATTATGTCTCTATTAATGATATATTCACTGCGAAAGGAGCTAAAGTATTAGAGGAACATAATGAAATTGAACAAAATGTTCGAATTGAATCAGATGGACCGTTCGTTGGTGGTCTTAAACAAAAAATCAGAGCGGTAAGGAAGGGGAGATGGCACTGATAATTATTGTAGATAGTGTTGTGTATGGAGGGAAAGTCGGAGGTGGATTAATAATTATTCGATATTATGCCCAATCCTACGATATAATTTTAATCCACCTAAATACCTCAAACTCTCCATTACCCCTCAAATTCCTTAAGCCTTCAAATACTCTGATTAAAATTATGTATGTTGATTAGAATGGAGGCAAGACCTTTATGATTTTTCCATTTAAGATAAGAAAATTTCAGAAATTTTTTTGGAGTTTTCCGAGCTTTCGCGGTTTCGCTCCTGAAACCAGCCCGGCAAAGATTAGAAGAAAAAACAGGATACCAGTTATCTTCCGCTGAATTCCATTTTTTGGCTCTTCAGCTAAAAATACTCCCTAATCAAAAGCAAGATTTAAATTTTTTCGAATTGGTTTCAAATAGTAAATATTTGGTTGAATGGTTAATTTGTTTCAATTTAATTGAGCTTTAGTTAATTTTTCATATTTATTTCATTGGCTCCCGGACAATCCGTCAGTGGACAATCCAGCAGTGGAAAATCCGTCAGTGGACAATCAGTCAGTAGTCGGACAATCCGTGAGTGGACAATCCGTCAGTGAACAAATTCGTAATTCCTACCCATATCCAAACTACAATGACCAAAAATTTTCATGTTTTCGTGTGGGGAATTATGAGAGTATCGAAAATTTGGAGATTAACGAGGAAATCGGCAGATTTAACTAGATTAAAAGGATATCATTGGATTTGGGAGACATCGGGGATTTCAAAGATATATTAGGGGGAATATACAAACTTTGCAGTATTATGATAGTCATCGAGGAATTAGTGAGATTAGATGAATTTCGGGGATTAAGTGGGATATCAAGGGATATAGACGGATTAAGAGGATTTGGACCATGTTCCATTGATGTTCATCCAAAAACAATCTCTCTTATTCAGAGATTTCACAAAATCCTACAATATTAATCTAAATCCAACATAATCCCATCCGTTAATCATTTAAATCTATTCCATTCAAATCCACTATATCCTTCCGAATCCATAGACATTGATTAATTCAACCAAATTGCCGAATATCCTCCAAATCCAATGATATACTTTTAATACAGTTAAATCTGCCGATTTCCTCGTTATTCTCCAAATTTTCGATATCTCTTATAATCCCCCACACGAAAACATAAAAATTTTCAGCCATTGTAGTTTGGATATGGGTAGGAATTACGAATTTGTTCACTGACGGATTGTCCGCTGACGGATTGTCCAACCACTGACGAATTGTCCACTGACGGATTTTCCACTGCCGGATTGTCCACTGACGGATTGTCCGGTCACGATTTCATTTAACGCGTTCCCAAAGGTAACAATCCTAAATTGCAGGTGAAGGAATATTCTGAAGGAATTCTTAATAATTATCAAAATAAAATAAAAAGAAAGTACAGTAATTTAACCGAGGAGAGAAAACTTATTTTTATTAATAAAAGAATTAATGAATATAAACAAATTGTTAATCAAGAGGAATATAATAAACTTATTGTAGATCACTATTTAGATTTAAATGAGTTTGGTGATCAACGAGATGTAAACAATATTCCTGTTTCATTAAGGAATATTCAGTAAAGTTTTTGTATTATATTGGATCACCAGGACAATTATTTGGTTGTAGACAAGCTGAGGAGGAGGGGGGAGCTTTTGAGGATTGTAACTAGGTACAATTCTCAAGTTCAAATAGTTTTAATGTAGAACACGGTACCGTGCCAGATATTTGTTTTTTGAGCTTTATTCAACATTACAAGGTTGCAAAAAATAGGCGAAACCTAAAATGCCCGACTTCAGGTATAACAAAATAAACACATATAAGTCCATATATGCATAGAAATATGCAAGATACATATATCAGAACATGGATTATATAACAAACCGCATCAAAAATGTTTATCTTATAGGTGGAAAAAATGTTTAGCTTGCGGTTTGACTTTAATAGTGAATTTAAATCTTGATATGTTTGTCGGTGGAAATAAACTGAACCTACTGAGCTAGCTTTTTTAATTAAGCTAATCCAAAAGTTAAATCAGCGATTGGGAGCGGATTGATATCCTTTGTTAATTTTTCAATTTTTTAATTTTAGCGAAAGTCATCTATTTATACAACTTGGAAACTATTTAACAGGAATTTTTTATCAGGAGAGAATTTTATTTATTTTTTACAAATTTTTTATTTTCGCACGACGATTGATCTTGTCACTTATTTCTAATCCAGTTGGGAGACTATTGGCTAATTTAAATGGGTTTATTTATACAATATCCGATTGGTCTTCATGTATTTCAATTAAATTTAAGATACCAAGTAATGATTCCTGCATACATCAGCAGCTTTGATCATTATGAACTGAAAGCAAACTGTATATATAATAGAATGTTAAATCAATTTTCTGCTTCAAATTGGTTATTTAGCGTTAGTTCTGGTCGTCAATCTATTACTCTCTTCAAAAATCTCCCAGATGACGAAAGGGATTTTCAACGTAATTATCATGTTTCATGCATTTTCAAACAAGGATATGAGGAATTCACGTCACTTATTTATTACCTCACAAGTAAATAAATAAATTATTCAAATTCATTCCTTAAAAATTTCGGATTTGTTTGTACTCGTACCACCCCTAATTTTGGCCTTGTAATCTTGCCAAATAAATTAATATAAATTTAAATTTTTGAATCTTCAGAAGGCCTAGAAGCCAGACTTCTGCTTCGGCATTTTAAAACCTCCGGCTCCACAGTCCGTGATCTCAGAGCGTAGGATCTGTGTGTGTAACATCCTAATCACTCGACCACTGCTCCTACTTAATTACCACCTCTTTATATTACCCCCAACCTGTAATTTTTTCTAAGTACGAGTACGAATTTTGGTACAAACGTCGAAGTACAAACGCCAAAATTCTCAAAATTTTCGCCTGCGGCGCTAAAAAAGTGAATTTTTTTACCTCTTAATCCTCCAATTTATCTTAATCCTCTAATCCTCCTCTTAATCCTTCAGCCTCTTAATCCTCCAATACTCCTCTTAATCCTCCAGCCTCTTAATCCACCAGATTTCCTTAAATCCTCCTATATCACACAAAATCTTCTTATAACCCAGATATCACCAAAAATATCTCCAGATATCCTTTTAAATCCCTTAATCCCTCCAAATCCTCTGATCACCCCTATATCTATTACGTAAAAATTTTTTTATGTCATTTAAATAAAAGAGGGTGTAAAATAGATTTATTTCAATTTGTTTTAAGCAACTGATTCATGGGAAATAACTGAGGAAGAATTTCATGCAATTGAAGAATCTCCTATTCGTGTAGAAGACGGACTGAATATATACAATTTATACAAACTCATCGGTTCTGTCAACGGCCAAGATTTTAAACATAAACTTCAACAACATTATATAAATCCACAATTGGTTGCTCAAATAACTTTCCAGTTAGCAAATGATACATTGATCTATCACCCTGAATTAACAGACCTACTTGAAATTAGACAAGACGTCGTAGTTCCACCACAAATTCGAGAGGTTGTCTTTAAATCGACAAATCCATTAATAATGCCTTCGAATACACATTAATAGTCATTTTAATGCTTCAATTTTAAATAGAAAACAATAACATTGTGGGCACCATTAAGATCGGTAAAGAATTTGAGGGTTTTCTAGTATTTTTATATACTAATTGATAAAAATTATACCAAAAATCTTATAACCGTTTTAGGGTTAACGGTTCAAAACAGAACTAAATCGAAATGAAACACCGTAGATTTTCGGCTCGTTTTTCGGTTCAGTATTTGTTGAATATATAGTATATCATAAACATATTCATTAGATTTACATCCAATACCCTCCACCTGGAGCAACTGAAAGCTTTGCTGAAAGTAGCCAACAAGCCAGCAGACGTCGCCCTCGTAATGGAGGTAATGGCAGTGGAGGAAATGGAAATGGAGGTAATGGTCAACGTGGAGGTGGACGGCGCCGTCGTAATGGAGGAAATGGAAATGACGAAGATTGAGGATGATCTAACGATAAATGAGGATAAAAATTGTTGAAAGAATTGAAGAAAAAAGAGTAGTTTTACAAAATTTATGTTGCGAAAATGTCCTTATTAAACACAATCACTTTCGTAAATCCTCTATTGTAATCACAAATGATAATCCTAAACGTAATCGTAAATCCTAAAAAACATTATAGATGATAGATAACTCTAATAGAAACTTAAAATTCAGAGAAAATGCTTATCATAATAGAGGATTTAAGCAGACTTGCACACGGATACTGATCTTGGTATCCGTATCCGGATATTTACGGCGGATACGGGTGGATACAGACGGATATCCGCAGGCATTTTGATATTATTTGTATCCATATCCGTATCCGTGTGCAAGTCCGGATTTAAGTGTATATAAATTTATCTTTTTTTCGGGGATTAAAGTAAAAATCGTTTTAATTTTCTATTAAACCTAAAAATTTTTAGAAGCATAAAAATTGTTGAAATTGACGATTATTTTTAGAAGCCATTTAATGTGTCTATGATTCCTGGCTTTGATATGGCAATTACTAGTCTATTAGAAACACTAAATGATTTTACACAGATAAAGAAATAATAGATGTTATCTTAAGAGAAAACATCTTCCTCTTGAACCTACTTAATAGAGTGATAGTTTCTCAAAATTCCCGCTTGCGGAGCTAAAAATAATTCCTCTAATACTCTGTATTCCTCTAATACTTCTGTAATCCCCTGTATCCCCGATATCACTCCAAATCATTATCCTATAAATCAAATCACTCCAAATCACTCCAAATCATTATACATAATCATTAACCTTATATATATGTATGTAAACTAAATCGAGTAAAAATATGCCATATTTACCTATTTGCGTTTTGCGTCGACTTTTGGCCTTGCCTAAAGGCGCGCCGAAATTTGCGGATTTTAATTTGCGGACCCGAAATTTGCGGACTCGAACTTTGCGGACCCGAATTTTGCGGACCCGAACTATGCGGACCCGAATTTTGCGGATCTGAGATTTGCGGACCAAAAATTTGCGGACCGACAATAGAGTCTACTGAACCTCGAAAATTTCAAAAATTTTAGCCTGCGGCGTTAATTAGGATGAATTCAGGCATCATGACCTTATGAAATGGCCATATAAATGATTTTTTAAGGAATTTTCTCGATTATTTAAATTATGAAATAATTTTAAGATAAGAAATTGATAAAAATTTTGAAAAATCAAGAAAAAATCATGAGTCCGGTACGGATCATGGTAAATTCTGCCGGAATCATCGAAAAATAAAATTTTTAATTTTTCTTTTTACTTAAGTGTCGGTCCTAAAATCTTGGTTCCGCAAACTTCGGGTCCGCAACCTTCGTTCCGCAAATTTCGGGTCCGCAAAGTTCGGGTCCGCAAAATTCGGGTCCGCAAAGTTCGCGCCACGTGCCTAAAATGTGTTTGCGGTTTTTTGAAATTTTATTGCGCCGCCACAGGTTGGAAGGATTGTTAAGTGTAGTGTTAGGCAAATGGATTTTTCCGGTACCGGTACCGGTAGTACCGGAAAGTACCGGTACCGGACGAGTACCGAAAATCCCAAATTCTGACCGGTACGGTACCGGTAGTACCGAAAAGTACCGGTACCGGTTAGTACCGGTGAAAATTTCCGGTACTACCGCGGTACTCCGGTACTGACAATAAAATGAAATAATATCCCAAATATGGCCTTATTAATGTGCTAATTGATGTGTAACAGTTCTATGTACCTATATGATCGTTGTTAGTCGGGATATCAAGGGATATTAGGGGATTAAGAGGGATATAGGGGGATTTCGCTGGATTTGATCGGATTAAGATAGCTTTGTGAGATGTAATGCCTTTATTACATGACTCTAAATCCACCATATCTATTTTATTCTTTCGATATCTCCAAATCCTCTGATATCCTTTCTAAAATTCCCCGATATCTCTTTTAATCCCCCTACATATTAATACTGACAAATACACCGGTATATACCCAATCTAATATCCTTAAAAATCTCCCTAATCCCTCTATATTACTTTTAAACATCACAAATCCTCCTTTATCCTTGTTAATCCCGCAAATCCATTTATATCTGTTAATCCTAAAATATCCTCTTAAGAGCTTTTCATTTAGCGGGATATATGTATGGGGCTATCAGAGAATGTGAGTATTCTTAAGTATTCTTAACTTTAATGATATTCTTAACCTTAATCGGGGTTTTCAGGAATTTGAGGAGATGGACCCTGAAATTCCAAAAAATAAAATTTTGGAAGGCCAAGAAGCCAAGATTTCTTCTTGTTATAGCGCCGCAGGCAAAAATTTTCGATTTTTGATAGGCCCCGGGTGAAAATTCTAGGAATTTTGGAAGTCCATATGATAATATTTTCCATTTTTTCTTAGAATTTTCCAGTACCGAAAAACCGGTAGTACCGCGGTACTGGAAAGCTGACCGGTACGGTTCCGGTACCGGTAGTACCGAAAAGTACCGGTACCGGTCAGTACCGAAAATCCAAAAATCTTACCGGTACGGTACCGGTACCGGTAGTACCGAACCGTGCCTAACACTAGTTAAGTGTGTCGGTACACCTCAATTGAGTCCGCACGATTGAGTCCTCACGATTGAGTCCGCACGATTGAGTCCCCACGATTGAGTCCCGGCACGATTGAGTCCCGGCACGATTGAGTCCGCACGATTGAGTCCCCGTTGTATATACCTCAATTGAGTCCCCGTGGATTTAATAAGTTTCAAAAGGTTTAAGATGGATATCCGGGATATTGACAGCTTAAAGTGAATTTTAGAGGACATGTATGCGACATCGAGGGATCAAGTTGGATATCGGTGGATATGAAGAGATATATTTTGGATTTGAAGATTAGGAGGTATATCCTGGCATGTATATGTACATATCTCCAAAAGTATACATGCGCGGCTGCTCTTTTTCGCCTTCAGTTTTCTTCCTCCTCCCTCTCCGTCTCATTGGCTATAAGATCTTGGTATTCTTCTTCTCCCAGCACTACATTATCCTCGTTACTGATGGTCTCCCTTGCAGTTTCGTGAAGTTCTCGGCACGAGTCGATGCCCTCCACTGGTTCGTCTTCTGCCAGTGGAGGGCTCGTTCCTCCCGATCCCGCTGCGAAACATCAATGCCAGCCGACAGATGTTCCACGCTGAAGCTCTGTTCCTCCACCTTGACCGTAGTACCCATTTGGACTTGTTGAGAAGCGTGTAATTTACATAAAAAATTGAAAAACTAGAAATTGAGAAAAAAAAACAAGATAAGCTAATAACAAGGGTGCATAGCAGCTGTAAGATCTCAGGAACAATCTGCCCGGCATTTATTTTAAAAAAATTAGAAATTTAAAAAAATTTTTAAAAATAAAGAAAATTTTTTTAAGACTTTAAAAATTAAAAAAATCTGCTGAAAAGAAACATGTATTGCAAGCAGATTCTGTCAGCTTATTCCATCCCGTAGCATTTTTGAAATAATCCCGCATGCAAGATATGGAATTTTTAAAATTAAATCCACGGGGACTCAATTGAGGTATATACAACGGGGACTCAATCGTGCGGACTCAATCGTGGGGACTCAATTGTGCCGGGACTCAATCGTGGGGACTCAATCGTGAGGACTCAATCGTGCGGACTCAGTTGAACTGCTCCGTAAGTGTGTATTAGTCTTTTATCGGTTGGGGTCAGTTGAGCGTGGCCGGTTGAGCGTGAGCCGACCTTTGAAAGGCTATAACTTTTTGCTGCTTGATCCAATACGAATGAATCATATATCATTCGAAAGCCCTCGATGAGTCCAATCTTTATCCCAACTGGATGGATCAAGACTGATCCCGGTTAAAAGGTTATAAGTCGATAAGTGCAGAAAATCGTTGTTTTTCACACTTATCGACTTGTAACTTTTTAAATAGCGATCAATCATGATCCATCAATTGAAACAAATATAGCGTTTAACGAGGGCTTTCGAATGATATATGTTTCATTAGTATTGAATCAAGCGGAAAAAAGTTATAGCCGATCAAAGTTGGCTGACGCTCAACCGGCCACGCTCAACTGGCCCGTTCCGGTCTTTTATCACTTTTTTGAGTCTTCACTAATTCTGAAATCTAGAGCAACTTTTATTTCAAAATCAGCTTTCAATTTCCGCTTTATTCTGCCTTTTATTTACCTATTTCTAAAATGTTGCAGGATGGCCCATAGGTTCAGGAAAGTCAGAGGACTGGGAGTGAATTACTAGAGCAGTTTTTTCGTAGTTTTTCATCAACACACTAAAATTAAAAATTTTTTTATGTATTTCAAGAAAAATTCTTTCCTCAACATTATTTCTAGCAGTGTTGTGATGATAAAAAGCAAAAGTAAAGTGCATATGATATGATGAAATGTTAGATGAATAATATATTAAATGATATAATACATATAATAAAAGTACATTTGATAAAAAGTGGAAATCTTAAGTGACTGTCTAGATATCTTTTTAGTTTAATTGTTTATCCATTATTTTTTGGATATTTCATAATAAATTTACAAATTCTCTTTTTTATACACTTCCATGGGACAATTTCCTGACCTAGAGATCAGAGTGACTAAATTGCACTCCCGAGCTCTTGTGACGGGATTTTTTTAAAAGGTTGATAAATTACGTAATCCCGAAAGTTCATTCTAATATATACATATTACCTGAAAAATGTTTTGAGTAATAAATATTGGGGATTGGAGAGATTAAGAAGTATTTGAAGAGAACATTCCGGATTCGATTCCGGTTTTTCGGTTATGGAGGCAACGAGCCATGACATACAGGAGATCAGATGATAATTTTCTAATAATATGACAATTTTATTTTTCTTACAAGTACTACTATATAATTGCACTTTGTGGGTTTCTCAATACATAAATAAAAAAAATTTTTTAATTAAATAAGAGCTCCGCATAAGAGTCACTATGTATTCAAGCCATAGCACAAGATCCATTAGTAGGCAATTGAGCCATAATCACCTCAATGCACTTTATTGCCCTTTTAATTTCCTGTAAAATGATTTTCTTGTTATCGCAGATTTTTTACAAAGGGAAAGTGAATGTGTTAATGGATTTTCCCAGCCATTTCTCTTTCTTAATTATTTTTCGCTATTTCCTGTGACATACATATCCTATTCACATGTTTATGCTTATATAATGAGATTATTTCTCCTATAAATCAGTTCACAGTTAATCAGTCTTAATTTTTGCCTCATAAGCTAGAGCACCGGTGTAGTTAGGGTCTGGCCAATCTAATTTAAATTTTTTAAATCTTCGCCTCTGTATTTCTTTCCTCATGGATATGTCACCCCCCCTCCTATTTTGAGTCTCAGAGTTTTCCTTAAACGTAGAAAATGGTCAGAGATTATTTTCTTCTCCATGTCAATCATTTTTCTTTTTTAAGCAAAACAAGTGAAATGTGGTAAATGTAGAAACGAAATGAGTGAAATTTAAGTACAAAATATGTGAAAAGGCAAAATAAACAAGCAAAATACTTGAAGAAGAAAAAATGATTGACATGGAGAAGAAAATAATCTCTGACCATTTTCTACGTTTAAGGAAAACTCTGAGACTCAAAATAGGAGGGGGGGTGACATATCCATAAAGTACCAAAAATTCTTTTGTAAATTGGAAATATTACCAATTTATATAATAATTTTTATATAAAAATTACCAGAATAATTTTATTCAAAAAATTGTGAATAAAATTCTTAACTAAAATGTATTATAATACACTTTCTAAGACATTTATTGTCTTGTTTTTTGTTGGGTTTGAAGCTCTTTTTGTCAAAGGAATGATGAATTTTCCTGGTAAGTTAACATTTTTAGCTTAAGTCTGAGAGCTGAAGTCTAATTTTTTTTATTAAATAATACTTAAAAATTAAGTAAATATGAGAACTGGAAAAGGCGAACTCAGTGATAATCTGAATGTGTTTTCTCTTTCTGAGTTGTCCTTTCTGATGAGTATTTTAGATAAATTTTGCATAGAAAATTGCAAAAATTATGAGTCTGTTAAAGATATACTCATTGCAAAAGGAGCTGAAGTAATAAAAGAATTTGAAGAAATTGTGGAGATTGAACCAAATGGCCCGTTCGTTGATGGTTTTACTCGAAAAATAAGAGCGGTAAGGAAGGGAAGTTTACATTGATATAGATTGAAGGGCTATTTACAGAAGACTTTTGCAGACTTATTTAGTTTCCCATTAAATAATTAACAATAGGTATCGCTATGCATCAGGGTCCCTCTCCCCCTTCCCCCTCGACCCAATGGATAACCTTCCTAATTTACAGGTGATAGAACATTCTGAAAAAATTCTTAACAATTATGAAAAACAAATAAAAGAAAAGTACATAAGTACGGATAAAGAAACTCAACTACTTTTTATTAATAAAAGAATTAATGCGTATAAACGAATTGTGGACGAGGATGATTATGTTCGATTTATTGAAAATCACGGTTTAGATATGAATGAGTTTGATGGTCAACAAGATGTAAATAATATTCCTGGTTCATTAAGGAATATTCGGTAAGGTTCACATCAAGGATCGCGCCAACAAAATTTCCGATTTCCGAAATCGGGAATTTTATTTTTCTCGGAAATTAGGAATTAAATAGCCTTAGGAATTAAATACCGTATTTATTCTAATATAAACCTACATCTAATAAAAGCCCATCCGATGAAACCCATTGAAAAGATAACCCCAGGTCTTATATTAGAATAAATACTGTATATTTTTTACTTTACCTTATTTTAAGTATCATTTAATAATTTTTAAAATTTATTTTTAATTTTAGCGAAAGTCATGTATTTGATCAACTTGCAAAGCATTTAACAAGAATTTTCTATCATGAGAGAAATTTATTTATTACGCACAAATTGTTTATTTTGGCACGAAGATTGATATTGTCATTCATTATTTCTAATCCAGTTGGGAAAGTTTTTTCTGCTATGGATACAACGTAAATTTGTTTAAGTACATTAAGGCCGAGCAACACTACATAGTTGATAAACACTAGTTGATAGTACCTTTTAGATTTTAACTGAATCTTTATGGTGTATGTAGTAGGAGAAAAGGGTTTGAAATCGGCAAAAGTCTCCGGGGATAGAGAATAATTCCGGCAATGGCCGAGAGGAGATCCGTTGATTGGTGAGAGGGCAGTCCAGATAATTTGACAATGTATAGGTTACTAAAGGTGTCTATTGATAGTCAATAGGTAGAGTAAATGTTGGGAGAAAAGGGTCCACCAATGGGAATGATTTGTGATATTTGTGATTGTCTTTTGTGATTATGTGATATATCAGCAATTGCCTTTTGCTAAATAGTTTGACATAAATATTAAATAGTTATATAGCTTGATCTGTATAGTAAAGAATGGGATGTTAAGGATTAGTTGCTTTTAGCTTAAGTTCTTGTAAGGATTTAGAATCTGGCTAGCGGAGAGCCCCTTTTTTGGGCGACCGCTAGTATTATAAAATCATAGTTATTTTTTAAACAATAACCGAGTGGTACTGATTTATTTATTTTATCGTTAAATTTTAGATGGCAAGTATCACTTGTGGGATACTTCAATTTTTTTGATCAATATGAAATGAATGAAAACTTTGCACATAAAATAATGAAAAATCAGTTTTCAGCTTTCAATTTGTTATTTCGCAATAGTTTTGGTCAGATACATGTCACTTTGGTAAAAAATCTTCCGGATGCCGAAAAGGATTTTGAACGTAGTTATCCTGTTTTATGCATTTTCAAGCAAGATGATGAGGAAATCATACCGATTATTTACAAATTTAAAAGTAAATTAATTAATTAATCGAGTCGTAACAAGTGCCCGTCCCTTCATTTAAAAATATTCATGTTCAGTTTCATCCTAGTTTCTGGTTCATATAAATAACACTGGCATTGAAATTAAGGTACCCATTTCCAAAACAGTAAAATAGGACGCAGCCAATCAAAAATATGATAAGCATAGGGATAAATTGGTCAAAAATAAGGTAGAAAGTCAAAAATAGAACGTATGTACTATATATTAGAGATGTCCGAGACCGAAATTTTTCCAAGACTCAAGACCCGAGACAAAATTTTTTCCAGAACCAAGACCAAATCTCCAAGACTCAAGACCAAAAATAATACAAGACTCGAGACAAAAAATCAACTTTATCAAGCTTTTTCGCCGCAGGCGCCAAAAATTTTGATTTTCAGCGCCGCAAACGAAAATTTTCTTAATTTTGAAACTCAAAAAGATTGGACGAAAGGTCCAAAGTTTTCGTGAGAGACATTTCGTCAATTAGAAATTTGCGTCCAAAACAGCCAAAAAACCAAGACCAAAAAATAAAACCAAGACAAGACCAAGACAAACACCCCAAGACCAAGACTGAAAAAACCCAAGAAAAGTCTTGTTTCCAAGACTAAGAGTCTAGGACATCTCTATTATATACATACATTGATGGGATGCATAAAAGTTCATGAAACGCATAAAAGAATCATGAACTTATGGGACGCATGCCCAAAAGTAGAGTATCCATTTCCAACTTTACATGAATAAAAGATAAATAAATGAATGTGATAAAGTAGTAGCTAATTATCCGCTTTAACTTCAATTTATAATTTAAGCAAGAGGTTCAAGCGAAATAGCCAGGGACGAATTTGAGGAACTAGAACCGTTTCGTATTCATGGAGAAGGCAAACCAAATAATACATACAATTTATACCGCCTCTTCTTTTCGCTATATGACAAAGGACACAATAAAGACAAAGATCTTTTGTGTAAAATTCAACAATATTATATAAATCCACAATTGGTTGCCCATATAACTGATCAATTTAACAATGATGCTTTGGTTTATTCCCCTGAATTAATTGAAAATCTGCAAATTGGTGAAGGGATAAGAATCCAACCACACATTCGTGAGGTTGTTTTTAATAGTTTGATATATTCAAATTGACTGACCCTGATTTTCCTGACCCTGATTCTATCAAAATACCGATGCCCGGCCTACGTGCCACGGAAACTCCGGCCCGGCCCGGTTTCAAACTTTAGTTTTAAATTCGACTATTTCGTTAATAGTGCCTTAAGAGTATAATACTTATAAAATTGTTAATTTAATACTTCTGTTTATAAGTGACACCATTTAGACAGGTAAAAAATTTGTTGAGGCTTCTATCAGACAAAATATACCAAAAATTTTATCACAATAATTATTAGCTTTACATCCCTTATCGCCCAAATGAAACATCCGGAAGCATTGGTGAAAGTAGCCAACAAGCCACCGGAAGTCATAGCCCTCGTGATGATGGCAGCGGAGGGAATGGAAACGGAGCGACTGATCACCGCAGTGGTGGACCTGGCCATCACACTTGAGAGGGAGTGAATAAAATGGAAATGACGAAAATTGAGGAGAGCCTAATAAATGATTATAAATTGTTTAATGAATTGAAGAGAAATGTGTAGGTTTAGAAAATTCTCATTGAGAAAATTGCTTTTATTTAACAATAATTTTTATTTATTTTCGGGAAGATAAAAGTAAAATGCAAATTAGAATCTTTTAGTTAATGTGTCTAACCTTCCTGGCTTTAATATGTCAATAACTTTCATAAATGGATCACAAACTTTATCTAATAGAAATTTTAAAGCAAAAACATTCCCCTGTTTATCTGGACACGTTCACTTTTTTGTCTTTATTAATAGAGAAAGGATTAGGGATTTTGGGAGAAATTAATTTGTATAAAGCTTACAACGAGTCCACAGCTAGTCAAGATATACTAACTGAAAAAAGAATGAAGTTCTAAATGAAACTTAATTGCCTGAAGATGATCCCTGTTAATACCTGAATTCATTTTTAATTACTCACAATCACTCTATCTCGCTCCATTGGGATTCAAGATTTCAGCGCCGCCGGCAAAAAATTTGGAGAATTTTGGAAGAATAATAAGAAATTCTTCATTTTATGGAAAATTTGCATGGAAAAAGTCGGGTATTAGGTCTGGTTTTCTAAAATTTCTCTGGTCGTTTTCGTATGAAAAAGTATCCTTTCCTGCGGCGTATGGGTATCGGGTTTCGGATTTGTTAGTGAAATAGTCATGAAACATAAAAATATCTCTAAAAACAGAAAAATAGCACTAAAACGCAAAACTACCCCTAAAAATACCCTGTATTGAAGACTGTGGTTCAAATAAATATTTGTTTCGATTAGAATAAATAGGGTAATTTTTCAAAAATTGACAATTCTTTTGAGTTATTAAGAAAAATTGATAAAAAAATTTTTGAAGATTATATAGATTTTTAAAAAATAAATATGTATAAATTTATGAAAAAATGCATTTTTATGAAAAATATCCCGAATACGTATATGACAACTAGAGCCCGGAATTTCATTCCGTACCTTATTCCGGAACTTGTTCCGTACCGTACTACCATACGGAGTAGTAGATTACAATCCGGGCTCTAATGACAAGTGTGAAAAATAAAAAGCAATCAAATTTGGTTACAATCTATCAAAACCACAAAATAGGTTTTTATAACAAGACCTTTGTAAACATAAGATACCGCATTTTCTCTAATAGAATGACAGTCATTCTATTTTTCATATACCCCAAAAAGTGTCATTCAATTAGAGATGTCATTTAATTAGAGTAAATACGGTATCCAAAAACTTTAAAAAACTCAAAATTTGATCCCAATATGAGGTCCGACTGTATAACGAAATCTTTTGTGCTTTCCTTACTAACGCCTCATTTTCTGTTTCACTAAATAATAATTCGTAAATGTCGACGAATATCTTCCAGACTCTCAAGTTTAGCAAAACTTAACTGATAAGCATGTAACAATTCATATTCTATCTCATCAAGATGAATTATAAGATGAGGACGTACTTAAATGATCAAAAAAACATTTTTTTGATTACTTAAAGTTTCACTACCTTGATTGCGAAGAATGAAATTGGTTGTTGACGTAAAAATAGTTAAATTAGTTAATTCTCTGTTTAAACTGTTTCCTTCATTTTCGAATAATCCAAAGTATCCATCATAGATTTCGTATGTTATTTCGGCTCTAAAATTAGATTATTATCAGGGGTGTGTCTTTTCGAGTTTGCCGTATATCCTTTAATTACTACCCTGGGTACTTATTGTTTCGACCTTCCCCTGGAGGGAGCAATTAATCGAGGGAGGGTAATTATACGAGGTTTTGAATTTGAACGTGTTTTAGGGCATTTGTTTGGGGGTAATTATTGTTTCAATCTATCGATGGATGGGGTAATTAATGGAAGTGGGGTAATTATTTGAGGTAGGGCAATTAATACAGGTTATACGGTAGTCGTATTTTAAAATCTGTTTCGACACACCAATTATTATTATGAAATATATTGTCAAATATAATGCCAAAATAGATAATTTATAAAGTTTTTTTTATCACAATTTTTGTCTTTTCAGGTTTTATAAGAAAAATTTTGGACTGCTCGTAATTAGGGTTATTAATTTATAAAATAATTCCGACTGGGAAAACCACTGTTTCCAAACTTACGGTATCATTT